TTAATTTCTCCTGATTACCTCATTTTTAAATATGTATATCTTATACATCTCAAATATTCTCCTACTTCATCCTATTTAAATATTTATTACCAAAATATACACATTAAATTTCACCTATTATCAGGTCAAGCAAAACTTTTGGAATCTAAGACTGCATTTTTTAAAAGTCAGAGCTTAGAATCTTAAGAGAAGCTTTGACTTATTATTCCTTTCTCTCTCATACAAACAATGAAAGATTTTGAACATCCTTTTTTACTTATTCACCACAGGAGCAAATGAAGAAAACACTCTTAAAGTTCCCTTTTTTTCTGAAATTTTCAGTCTTATTTTAAACCCCCAACTGTTGGCTTGAATATGTTGCATCTCTTGTAAACTAGATAAAAAGCAACATTGTGTCGTAACTCATTTCTAGTCTGCTCTTACAAAGAAAAACATTTGTGGATTGCTTTATTTCTTGTTAAAAGAGCTTCAAAAAAACTATCACTGAAGCTTTAGCCTTTTAGACTTTTCTCTCCCACTTTGCTTGATATCATTTTTGAAGGATAAACCAAGAATAACAAAAGAATATCCAAAATCTTAATGTAAAAATAGAAATCAAGTAACTAAAATGTTTCTGGTTAATGTTAGTATTTCTGAAGATTTTAAATGCAGACATACCTCAACTGCAGTTTGACTTAAGTGCATTTCAATTCATGTCAACAAAAAGTTAGTGGGCTCATGTTAATGTAGTCATCATGACATAGGATATCATCAATTTTAAAAATTAAAATCTTACAGACAAAATTTAAACAAAATGCAAGATTTGGTATTATTTTCATTCTCATGGTTTAAGAGGACAGAAGCAGTCTTGAGCATCTGCGGGGGGGGGGGGGGGGGGGTTCAAAGAAAGAAATGATGACACTATGTGATGAAATCATCTATGATATTATTTTGGCATTATTACATTTCTTACAGAAGCTGCTGAAAGCAGTTAAAATAACCTATGTACTTCTAATGTGCTTAATTTTACTGCCTATTTATATGGTTTCAAATAAAGGAATTTTATTTATACATAATTCCAAAAAGCTTAGCATCAGAAAAAAAACAATATACTGTAACTTCTGTACTATATGATATGTAAAGAAAAATGATAGGTGTCTATGCATAACAAATAGACACAGTAAAAAAAGACACAGAATGTTCATTGTATATAAATTGAGTAAACAATACATTTTTCAGTTAAAGAAATACCATTTCCTCTTGAAAGTAAAAAAAAAAACTGTTTCAAATTCAGATTTAAAAATCATCAGAAGTCTGAAAAGAATGTAAATTGTGTCTGATGCCAAATCAGTTTCTCCTTCTATTCCGTGATCATTATTAATAATGATAAAATAGAGATTTAATGGTACCAACCTGATGTCAGATCAACCAAATTGAAATACATTTGTAAATGTATAAATTCTATCCATTAAGAACATCAGCAATATTGGAAGAATGGTGTATTTATATTTCATATTTTACAGGTAGTCCTTGACTTACAACACTTCATTTAGTCACAATTCGAAGTTACAACGGCACTGAAAAAACTAATTTATGACCACTTTAACAACTATTGCAGCATCCCCATGGTCACTAGATCTAATTCAGTCACTTGGCAACTGATATGTATTTGTGACAGCTGCACTGTCCAGGAGTCATCTAATCACCATTTGCAACCCTCCCAGCCAGCTTCCAACAAGCAAAATCAATGGGGGGGGGGGGCAGATTAACAACTGCATGATTCACCTAACAACTGCAGTGATTCACTTAACTGTAGCAAAAAAAGGTCATAAAATGGGACACAGCTCACTTAAGTGCCTTACTTAACAATGGAACGTTTGGTCTCAATTGTGGTTATAAGTTCAGGACTATCTCTAATAAGGGAATTTTGTCAACGTTATACAGATGGTCCTCAACTTACAACCACAAATAAATATAAAAACTCTATGCATCATATTACATCCTGCCAGAGTAATTCTATACACACTGCAACTGTTCTGCAGTGGTGATATAGGGCACAAGTAAACGGATACGTATCATATTTACTGTCAGTGCCCAGATAATCAGAATCCAGGTAGTCGGATCATAATTTTTTTAAGAAATTGGAAAAATCACCCAGTAATATTTTTTAATGAATGATGTAGTAATTTACTGACTGTACAGTATTTCCTAATGCATATAGATTGGTCTAATTTAACAAATTAATTTAGATTTAATTGTTAAATGCTAATTTTTATGACTGCAAAAACTATATCATTGATATTTAAAAGTGTGGGAAACTATCTTTTAAAAACCCTAACAGCTCAACAGCTCTAAAAACTCTTCAGTAAATAATAAATTCAGTTTAATCCAGTTAACATTAGTCTGATAAGCAATAATACATGTTTTCTACATACATGTCATTTTTGAAAGAAAAATTAAATCCAGGTATTTGAAATGTTTGGGTTTTTTCTCAAGAATTGTGTTTGTATGTGTATATCCTTCTTTTCAAATATATTTTTTGGGATTATTGGTGTTTTTCTTTTTAATTTATTAAGTTTTTTGTTCTGATCATGTTTGTTTAACAAACAAGAACATTAAAATATTTTATTGGATAGTAATCTAATATTTAATAAAGGCATTCTCAATTGCCTCTATCAACTATTGATACAGTTATTTATTGAGGTTTTGTACTACACAGTTTTGTTATTCAAAAGCCTGGTCCCTCCATCCTGATTCTGCTATTTGCTGCCTTCTGCTTCAAATGTGTTCTATTTGCACTTTTCATAGCATTGTGAATGGTCTCAGTCTCCAATTAAATAGCTCCTATAAAGGCAGGTATGATAGAAGGTATGCTTCCTTCTAAACTTTCTTCAAATTTGCCTTGCACTATTGTTGCTCCATTTTATTTCTTTTATTTAATTTTATTCCTCTAATAGAAAAGAGGAATATTCCTTCTATTTCATTTCTATGTCTTTAAACTACTGTACAATTTACTGCACTAAAATTTAGGTCAGTAAACATTTTATTACACTGGTATTATTTGTACATACTTCACACATATTTAACTGATGTTGAAATTAAGTGCACTAAGGCAAAACTGTTACATTCTTGGCTCCTTGGTTCAAGAGATTCTGATGTGCACAAAGGATTACAGGGTCCTTAAGATGGGAATCGTGATGGAGGCTGGGAGGTAAACGAATTTGGAATTCTTTGAGGACTGTATTTGGCCTCTTGTGATTTCCCTTATAGAGCAGACATGTCCGTAACTTATTTATTCTCCCATTCCTTTTTTAGAATATGAGCAATAAAAACTAAGGACGTGCAACGAAGGACAATAGAGCAGGAGATATAGAAGCCTTAGGAAAAGAAGTGTTAAGATAGCAGGAAAGTTGCGAACTTTCTTCTTGCTGGGCGGTGTTAGCGGGGAGGCTTTTTGCAAGAAAAAGGAGAGAAGCTGCACTTCTGAAACATTATTAAACAAGCGCTCACAGCATCCACTACGAAGCGAAATGGAGTGACGAAAAAGGAGACCGAGATCACCCTCCAGGCGGAGAATGCAGCACTCACCCGCCTCTCCTCACCAGCGCTTCACGGACGCCAGCCGCGAACTTGCTTTCGAACGCCCACGGCCAACTCTTCCCGCGCCTGCGCACAGCGTCTCACTCAGTCACCAATAAAACCGCTCCCTGGAGTAGGCTTCAAAAGACGTTCTATTGTAGAATCGCTAGGCTAGCCACCAATCGCTGTCCCCGTATCTCTACTGCATTGGCAAGAATAGGAATGACAGTTGAAAGACTAAGAATTCGCAATAGCGACCTCTGTAGACTGGGCGGATCAGAAAACTTGCCTCCATTTGCTTCTCCCACTTCATCTACACCAGGTGTCTCCAACCTTGACAACTTTAAGACTTGTGGACTTCAGTTCCCAGAGCTGGCTGAGGAACTCTGGGAGTTGAAGTCCACGAGTCTTAAAGTTGCCAAGGTTGGAGACCCCTGATCTACACTACAGCGTTGTCTCATTAGTTGGTACTTATTACTGCAATTGTGAACAGCCACTCTGTTTTATACTTTTACTTTTAATGATCGGGTTTAGGTATTTGATAATACTTTGACTTCACTTTTCATTCTTTCAATATATACATTTTATTAAAAGTCTCCCCTTATAGATCCTGAAGTGATTTGTGTCATTTTCCAGGACGCTTTTGACTTAACACTCTAGACAGGGTATAAACATGGGGTGGGGGGTGGGGTGGGGGGTTTTCCATTAAATCTCAGCCAGAAACCTCTTTTTGCTGCCATCTAGTTATCATCCAGAAATTTGCAGCTAAAGCAGACAGTCCCAAGTCTAGAGACATAAGAGAGAAAGATAGATTGATAGAGATATTCCTCCGATATTAACCAGATCAACCTGGTTAGTTTCCAGTCCCAGAAAGGTCCTGCCTCCTGGTGAGGCAAATATTGTTCTTGTATATATTTGCACAGAAACGCATTTTATGTTTTTCTTAAAATATATTCGCTGGCCCCAGTCTGCATTAGCATTTAATCTAATTATCATTTAATGTGCCAAAAGAATTCTATGGAGTGGGGGGGAGCATAGTTAAGCATTTAGAAAGGAGATTTTATGAACTGTCAGAATTACCGTTGATGTAACTGCGTTATTTCTTTTTCAAAAATGGAGTTCGTTGATTTTGATAAGGCTGAAAAAAATCCTGTTTGCCTCGAGCTCAGCATTAGAAACCAACAACGAAGGCCAGGAGTAAACTGCTTTAAAATATACGGAACTAAAAGGACGGACGAACTCCTCTTTGAAACCTACCTATGCGTGACATCATCACGGCGCTTCTCGCCACGACGGAGACCACGGCGCTCTTTTCCGCGTCCTTATTTGTTGACGTTACACACTTTAATTGGCCCGATCTTACCCGGGTGGCGGGTGAAGTGTGCAATTGTGATTGGCCAGCGGCGAATGACGGGTTGCCTTTTCTGCTGGGCTCTGATTGGCCGCGTCGCTGTACCGGGGGTTCTCTTTCGTGCCTATGGTTACCGGTGCGTGAGGAAGGTAGGGGCTGGGAGCTGCTTCGACTAGACCCCCGCCATGTCCCCCCGCTCCCTCGGTGGCCTCCTTCTACTACTGCTGTGCCTGCTTGGGGAAGCCATCGCCGGGTGAGTGCCGGGAAGGAAAAGGCGGTCGGAAGGAAAGGTCGTTCCGGGGCTGAGGTTTGCAGGTGGCCCCGCGGTAGGGTGGAGCCCCCGCTGCCTTTTATCCCCTTTCGCTCTTCTGAAAGGCCCGCTGAACCTGCTGAGCTCTGCCACCTCCCCCCCCCCACGCCCCTTTCAATCTACGGGAGCGCCTCGTATTCTTCTCACCGCCGCCCCGTGCGCGGACTGCTCCCTGTTCCGCTGCTTCCTGGCCGTTTCTTCCTAGGGAGAGTTGTAGGTGCTATTTTCCTTTCCTTCTTCATCCCCCTTCACGGGTGGCCAGGAAACGATTTCCTTGTGCCTTCGAAGGTAGATGATGTTTTCAAGCGCTGGGGAGGGTGAGGGACGAGAGGTGAGTCGTAGTGGACGTGGTGTGTGAGGAGGACGGGTAGTCCTCGAGTTACGACCACAAGTGAGCCCACAATGTCTGTTGCCTATTTGTTTATTTATTGAATTTATATTTCTGCCTATTCGCCCATGGCGACTCAGGGCGGCTTGCAGGCTATAAAAACCACATTTAAAACAATCAAAACTAACATAAAGAATCAAATAAATTAATATAGTACAATATAACAAGATCACCTCCCGCCCACCCAACCCGCCCTAGCGACAGCAGATCACATAAGCCATTTAATGGACTCCATCCTGCTCTGGGTTCCTTAGGCCCTCTGGCAGAACCAGGTCTTCAGCAGCTTCAATCGAAACATTATTTCAGTTTGCCCCATTTTACATCTTTTCTTGCCCGTGAATCATTTGCGTTTGTTAAGTTAATAAGATGGTGGTTACTAACTTCCCCATTTGCTTGTCAGAAGGTCGCAAAAGCTGATCATGTGATCCCAGGACACTGCAACTGTCATAAATATGAACCAGTTGCCAAGCTTCTGAATTTTGATCATGTGTTCATGGGGACACTGTAACAGTCGTAAGTGTGAAAAGTCGCTTTTTTCAGTGCAGTTGTAACTTGGAACGGTCACTAAATGAATTGTTATAAATTGTGGACTATCTGTATAGCCACTCAGGTTCAAATCCCTGCCTCAGTCATGAAATTCTCTTTGGACCTGTTACTTCTTTTCAGTGGCTAGAATCTATATCCATGTTTTCACTTTTACCTGCCCTCTACCCTACTGAAATCAGTTGTTTTAATCTGCTACCCTCTTGCTTATTTATTTTCTCAGTATGGATCCAATTATGGAATGTTTCCTGAGGAAAGCTTAGCTGTCACCTACTTTTGATATAATTTTATAGCAAAAGGCATACAACTTAAGTCATTAAATAACTGATTATTATTTCCTTTATAAATTATTAATAGGCTTTTAAATTTTTATTGCATTTTATTTTAAAAAAATATAATGCTTTTATTTAAAAAAACAAAACAAATGTAAGCTTTTTTGAAACGTTTATTGAAAGGCAGGATATTTCTTCCATTCAGCACATAGAGTGCAATTATATACACTTAAGAGTTTTCTTTCTGTTTCTGCCAATAAATTCAAGGGCATATATAGCTTTAAATGAACAAATAAAGGATGGCATTTTCTCTAACTTTTTTAATCTTATGCCAGGCTTCCCCAGCCTAGAGCTTTCTAGTTGTATAAAGATTACAGTTTTTTTTCCCCTTTGGTCCATTAGATTTGGAGGCAGTCCAGTTCCAAAACTGCTTTGGGCTACTTACAATTTAAAAACAGAAAAACAGAAAAAATCTGAAATGTTTGGACCACCATATCCCGTGTACCCCAAAATCTCTACCAACAGGATTCACAAATATCCTATCCCAAGGGGTTGGAGTACAGTCGTAGTTTTTAAGAACTTTTAAAACATTATTAAGGTTGGAGCTACATAGATCTTTCCAGATGGCAGGCATTGCAGCAGAGAGAACCATACTTTCTGAATTCTATGTAATAGATGGCATTGTTTGGTTGAAAGGATCTGGAGCACATTAACTCTAATGTTAGTTAACAGGCAGAAATCAGTGGAGATAAATGGTTCTCAAATAACCTGGTCTTATGTCATGAAGGGCTGTATAGGACAGGTGATAATCAGAAGTTTACCAGTAACCAGTGTAGTTTGCAGATATCATTGACATGTCAAAGGACATTGAATGCTGTGTGTCCTGAACTAGCTGTAGTTTTAAATTTTCTTCAGAGGAAGCCCTAGGACGGTAGAGTGCATTGCAGTAATCCAATCATGTGGTGACTAGGGCATAAATGAAGGTTTTTAGATCCAGGAATGAGCACATGAGAGCCATCTGTATTTACTATGCAACCCAACTGTGATAATTGACTAGTGAATATATTTAAAACTATAGCTTTAAGCTCACAGGTTGCATATCAAGATTACTAAAGCAAGAAAATAATGGAGTGTGCAAAAATGACTAAACTGACATTTGAAATTAGAGAGCAAGAAGATAAACAATTTTATAAGATATGGGATTTATTTTATCAATGGTTAGATAAAAATAGGGAAATGAAATATTTTATAATACTTTATAATATAATAGAACTATAGAGATAAAGTAATGTAAAGATACATTATTATTGAATAGATTGGTGATGATGAAATGAATGTTATAAAGTAGGCCAAGTAAAAATAGTGATTTGCTCACATAAAATGATGGAGTATTAGTAACAGTCTGCAAGTAATTAACAATGATAATAATATAAATATATATAGTGGATTTATAGTATGAGAATTAATTTAAATTAGAAGGGGAAGACTGCAGAGATTGTGCACAAGAGATTTGTACCAACTGACACACTGTATGTAATTGAGAGATGGTTTTATGTTTTGTTTATGTCTGTGTAAAAAATAAAAAACTTTTTAAAAAAAAGATTGCTAAAGCAATGCTCCAAAAGTATGACATCCTACTTTGGAAGCTCTGATGTTTAACAAAAAAGCATGTGCTGCTATTCTTAGAATACAAGGCTTATAGAACTTTTTCTGTGTTTTGCTATTCCTGTTATTATCAGCTTATGGCAAGGGTGTCAAACTCACAGCGCGTGGGCCAGCTATGCCCACCCCCAGTTTAGCGAAGGGGAAAAAAGTTGTGATACATCACGTGACGACAATGTGACGCTGCAAGTTTGATACCCCAGGCTTATGGCAAAGAAGAACATACATTTTCTCCCACTATTTTTTAATTTGAGGATCATAAGAGGCAATAACCTTTGTTGTTTTTCAGGAGAGATTTCTATAAGATTTTGGGGGTTCCTCGCAGTGCATCTGTTAAAGATATTAAAAAAGCCTACCGAAAATTAGCCCTTCAGCTTCATCCCGACAGAAACCCTGATGATCCACGTGCACAGGAAAAATTTCAGGATCTTGGGGCTGCCTATGAGGTAAGTGTATTTGGGAGAAGTCTGTGATCAACATATGCATCCTGTGCATCCTGGATTGTTCTCTTCAATGAAATTTTAGTAGGATGGGTACTAACTGGAAAATAGCAATGTGTTTGTGACATTAATGAGACTACTGTTCTTGAAAACTTCATTTTCTTTAGGCTGATTTAATTGAGTACTTGAAAATGATTTATGGAAAGTGTTATTTTTTTGTGAATAAACAATAGAGGATTTTTATTTCTATTCAGCTTCTAAATGTAGCAGATCAAATATGTCAAAACATGGATCTTCATGCTGCCCCATTAAGTGATGTCTAACAGTATAAAACTATGTGTTACAATGTTGCATTGGCATTTAATATGCTGTTACTAAAGAATACTTTCATGAACTTGATTAATGGCAAGAAAGATTCTTACATATGCAGATGCCTATGTACCGTGGGAAGCAAACAGGTTTCTGATTAATTTGTGACATTTGGAAGGCCATGGAGTTCTCCTTTTTCCTTTAGTTTAAAGGGTGTGACATATTCTTGCATTATTTTTGGAAATGCTACTCTAAACTTATGAATGAGGATATGCTTTAAAAATAAGATTTGCTCTACCTGTGTATAGCTTCCTTATGCACACATCAGAATGGAAAAGTGAATAGCTAACATGTAACAGAAAAGAAAATAAACAGATGAACAGATATTATCCTTTATTCTTCTTCCTCATTTCTGTCAGTTTGTTTTAAATCTTCTTCCTTGAAATAGAATCAAAATGTCCTTTTGTTAGTTAAGTACTTACTGGTATTAGTTGCTCTTGTACAATCAGTCATGTAAAATGTCTTATTACAAAATGGATTAACAACTCTGAAAAAGCTGCAGCATAATGTAAGCAATTATATGCTATAATTTGGTAAGAAAGAATCATCCCAAAATAATTATTTTTGGAGTTTGCAAGCTAATTTTATCTAGCTAATCACTGGTTATATAGAGAGAAAGTGCAGTATTATGAAAAGTACCGTTCTGTGCCCTTTTTTAATGAAAGTAAGTATAGCTAAATTAAATTAGACATATTTTTACTACAGAGAATTAGGCAGCAATTACTAATGCATAAATTCTGGATGAGGGGATGACCACAAATTGCTTCCAGCTTGGAAGATTGAAGATTAAATTCCAGAAAATCATTACAGTGCTCCTGGAATTGCCAGTTCTGTGAGGTTTGGAGGAAAAACGTTTGATGTTGTATCCCAATAATCCCTATATACTATAGTCACATGGTCTCAAAAATTACTCTGTTTACAATCTTTTGTGACCTTAATGTTTTGTTTCTGCTAACCTTATATTTGTTTTTCAGCACATATAACACTTTTGCTGAGGACATCTTTCAGATAGAAATCAGTGAAACGTTCCTATTTGTTGCTATAGTATTTAAATATAGATGTCAATTACATTTAATTAGGAAAAGATTTTGTATGTGCAAATGGAATGTTCTTTTTTTTAGACCAGGCCTGCCCAACTCATTGAGGGAAAAACACCAGATTGATACCTTAAAAATAAGTATGGGTCACAAAGGAATAACTGGCAAACTGATCAGTTGTTCAGTGGCTAGGAGCATAGTGGCAGGATGGAGTTGGCCATATCCCTGAGGCCTGGAGGCATTGGGGACACTCAGTAGTCTGCCTTTTGAAGCAGAAGTGGTTATGAAACCAATATTCTTGGTGACAGCAATATTTAATAGCATTGGATTGACTTTTTTTTTTTTTTACAAAAATAAAGCCTATGGGTCACATGATGATTTGGCCATTTAGGTGTGTCTTGATAGGGTGTGTCTAGATAAGGGATAGGTGTGTCTAGATAAGGGACGCGGTGGCTTAGTGGCTAAGACGCTGAGCCTGTTGATCAGAAAGGTCGGTTCGGCAGTTTGAATCCCTAGCACCACATAACAGAGTGAGCTCCCGTTACTTGTCCCAGCTTCTGCCAACCTAGCAGTTCGAAAGCATGTAAAAATGCAAGTAGAAAAATAGGGATCGCTTTGGTGGGAAGGTAACAGCATTCCTTGCGCCTTCGGCGTTTAGTCATGCCGGCCACATGACCACGGAGATGTCTTTGGACAGCATTGGCTCTTCAGCTTTGTAATGGAGATGAGCACTGCCCCTAGAGTTGGAAATGACTAGCACGTATGTGCGAGGGGAATCTTTACCTTTTCCTTATAATAGTATTCCAGGAGATAATTTTCTGAATCAGAATCCATTTGAGAACTCTAAGTGTGATTTGGCCACTTTTGTGCATTCTGGCAGCTTTCCAGTAGATAGTTTTCTGAATCGGAAGCCATTTGTAGAATTCTGGGTGTGATACATAGGTAAGGGATGGACACAAACTGCTTTTAGTTTAAAACATTTATTTCTGGAAAATATCAGACCACCGCAAACATATCCGATCTGTATGGTATGGAGGCAAAATTATAGTTTTGTCCATTTTCCTCTTTAAAATAACTTAAACCTATATTAATATATGCAATTTATGTCTCCTGCAGGTATTGTCAGATGAGGAAAAACGAAAGCAGTATGATGCCTATGGTGAAGAAGGGTTGAAAGAAGGACATCAAAGTTCTCATGGAGATATTTTTTCACAGTAAGTGTGCTTTACTACTTTATACTTTTTTGCATGATAAAGTGTTATCTTATAGTATAGTACAAGGGTCTTCAAACTTGACAAGTTAGACTAGTGGACGTCAACTCCCAGAATTCCTGAGCTAACATGATTGGAGGAGGAATTCTGGGGGTTGAAGTCCACAAGTCTTAAAGCTGTCAAGTTTGAAGGTCCCTGGTATATAGTACAACAGCATCTTTAGTCATTAATTTCAGCCATGTTATTATTATGTTTTGTTCAGCAAGAGCAAAACTGCAATGAAACATCTTAAACTGGTTTTAAACAATATGAAGGATAGCAATAAGAATTGATATTAGTAAATTCCAGCAGAACAATAATTATATCAATTAATGAGTTAAAAAGTCTTTCATAACACTTGAGTTATGAACCTATAATGATAGCCTATGCAAACCTCTGGAGAAGTTCTATGTGTGTTTGGAGTGGGAATTATACCATTTCAAGTTTTGCTTAGGATTCGCCAAAGATCAAGGCCACCTGAGAAGAGATTATCTCTATTCTGAATTAAACATATTATTCTCAATGCTGATTACTCCGTGGACTTAGAAGCTATGTCATAAGTAGGAGCTCCAGCCTGACATACAGGCATTCACACTTTGCAAGACAAAAACCAGGGCTGCTGGTCATAGCTCTGACCAGCAGCCTTCCCATTGCTGTCCTGCATGTTGTTTAAAACCCATGTTGTTGCATGTTGTGTCCTGCACACATTTCTGAGAACACAAGTCAGGTTTCATTATCTGCCTGTTAAGTTAACACAAGCCACCGATGAACCCTCACCAGCAATTGTTATCTTGCAACAAAGACAAAAACATAATCACATTCCTTGCTATTTGTTTAGTTGAATTAACTCTGCTTTAAATCTGAATGTGAATGCTCAATTCCGCTTCACATTTGGAAAACCATCATCACTAAGGTCACATACTTAAGAAGTCAGTAAATTTGTGTGAAGGCATAGTGATCAGTTTATATAAAACAAGTATTGGCCTGGCAACATAAAATATTAAGAGTTCACCGTTAGTGTATTGATTAGGAAGTGTATGGCACTTTTATCTACCAGACTCCTTCTGTAGGTAGTGCTCAACTTGCAAAGTTACAAGAGACCTACCTTGGGTTTACTTAATACCCAGATTTAAAGTTTTGACAGTTGTGGCCCTCCCCAGTCCCATCACTGATCTCCAGGAACCTAGCAACACGGCCATGTTTATATCATTTGCAGCATTCCACAATCATATGACTACATGTTATGACAGTTTTGACAAAAAAATCAGCATTTTAACAGACACCTCCCTAATTCACTATACTGAATTATAGCCAGTCCCCAGTAACAAAGGTAAAGTCTTTGGCCTACCTCAATAAAAGAGCACAATAGACTTGCAAAATTGATGTCAGCCCCACTAAGTAGATCAGACCAAAAGATTAATTCCACAGGAAGTCTAAAACTACTTTTATTGAGATTGGCTATAAATTAATAACAGACTCTTGCAAGTCTGATTCTGTGTACCTCCTTCTCATAATTCATCAAATCTCCCTCAACCTCCTTACTCCCTACAGTTTCCTTAGTAATTCTTACCTGCTCTCCTATAAGTTTAATAGAAAGGAAGCTAAATGAGTCAATATTCATGTCTTTTCAGTTTCTTTGGAGATTTTGGTTTCATGTTTGGAGGCAGTCCTCGTCAGCAAGACAGGAACATTCCAAGGGGAAGCGACATTATTGTGGACCTAGAAGTTACATTGGAAGAAGTGTATTCGGGAAATTTTGTGGAAGTAAGTTAGGCAATTTCCTTAATAGGTCTCCTTTACTTGTATAAATCTGTTTTTCAGGCTTCATTATTAGAAATAGTTCTCTCTCATTGAATGAATATGAGGGAACACCAAAAGTATCCTTGGGACCACCTATGTATTTCCTGTGGAATTGCAGTACATGTTAGGTAACTGCTTTCAGTTTTGTCTCAGTACTAAATGCTTGTGAAAGAAACAATAGGAGAGCAATTCAAATTAATCAGTGGCCCTATTTATGCACAACAGGAGCATGTAACATTTTTCCACACAAGGAGCCACACTTTGCCTTTGGTGACAGACATCCTCCCAAAAGTAATGAGTGATAAAAACTAATCATTATTTCTGTTACTTCCATATTGAATTATAATTAAAATTAAGTATAATCACTGTGATTATCATCTAGGAGTGTAGGGATTTTGCTAGGATTTGAAGTGTTCCCTATAGTTTTTACTTCCACATTTTCCCTTTTTGAGGCATCAGGTGTGGGGGGATATTACTAGCTCCATTTAAGTACTTTTGAAAAGAAAAACTGGGGGAGTCTTCAACATGGTCAAAGGATTCTTAATTCTATTGTGCGCTAATATTATAAACCTCTATATTGGTATTCATTTTATTAAATAAATTATTTTATAAATTATTGTTTATTAATTAATAATTTTAAATAAGGGAAAGATCAATCACAGCTAAATGCTAACTGAAAAGCCAGCGCATAATTTGTGATTGTTTATATTATATTAAGTTTATGTTACAAAGTCTAAATAGCAGATTTAATATAAATGAGATGTTTGTCTGCTTTATTCATTTGAAGGGACTAAAGTGTTGTACATTGTAAAGTTTGCATCCAACATCATTCTTTACCTATTTGCAGGTTATTAGGAACAAGCCAGTTGCAAGACAGGCACCAGGGAAACGGAAATGCAATTGCCGGCAAGAGATGAGGACAACCCAGTTAGGCCCAGGACGTTTCCAGATGACACAAGAAGTTGTCTGTGATGAGTGTCCCAATGTCAAGTGAGTTTGAGGTCCTGTGGCTATTTGGTGCTTGAGTAATTGACAATCTTACATAATTGTTAAAAATAGCAGAGGGAAGATGATTACATTTCCAGTATGAGCCACAAGGTGGCATAGAGTGTTGTTGGGTTTTTTATGGCTTGAAAAGAGACTTTTGTGCCTGAAAATCTTCAACGCAGTGCTTGAAGAGGGTGTTAGAGGATACATGGTAGCACCTGCTGACAATTCTTTAAATCAAATGTATCTTATGCCAAAGAGTGCACTACAATGTAGAAGACCCTATGCTATTCCGGGAAGGCATCATTGTTTTAAAGGATATCCAACAGGTGTTTTGTGAATGTAAATTCAGCCTTCAAATTCTACTATTGTACAACATATATATTTAGCTAAGGTTTGAGGTGTTCCCTGTAGCTATGTAAATAAAGTTGTGCTCATAAATTTATGTAACCCTTGCAGAATTTGTACGTTCTGGAGTATATTGTAAGTAAACAAAAGTAATCAAAGAATTTTTTTAAAAATTATAATGTGATTCAAATTAAACTATTAGGCATTACAGAGTAGCACAATCTTTAAACCATAGCAATAAAATACACTGCTCAAAAAAATAAAGGGAACACTTAAACAACACAATGTGACTCCAAGTCAATCACACTTCTGTGAAATCAAACTGTCCACTTAGGTAGCAACACTGATTGACAATCAATTTCACATGCTGTTGTGCAAATGGAATAGACAACAGGTGGAAAGCATAGGCAGTTAGCAAGACATCCCCAATAAAGGAGTGGTTCTGCAGGTGGTGACCACAGACCACTTCTCAATTCCTATGCTTTCTGGATGATGGTTTGGTCACTTTTGAATGCTGGCGGTGCTTTCACTCTATTGGCAGCATGAGACGGAGTCTACAACCCACACAAGTGGCTCAGGTAGTGCAGCTCATCCAGGATGGCACATCAATGTGAGCTGTGGCAAGAAGGTTTGCTGTGTCTGTCAGCATAGTATCCAGAGCATGGAGGCGCTACCAGGAGACAGGCCAGTACATCAGGAGACATGGAGGAGGCCGTAGGAGGGCAACAACCCAGCATCAGGACCGCTACCTCTGCCTTTGTGCAAGGAGAGACAGGAGGAGCACTGCCAGAGCCCTGCAAAATGACCTCTAGCGGGCCACAAATGTGCATGTGGCTGCTCAAACGGTCAGAAACAGACTCCATGAGGGTGGTATGAGAGCCCAACGTCCACAGGTGGGGGTTGTGCTTACAGCCCAACACTGTGCAGGACGTTTGGCATTTGCCAGAAAACACCAAGTTTGGCAAATTCGCCACTGGCACCCTGTGCTCTTCACAGATGAAAGCAGGTTCATACTGAGCATGTGTGACAAATGTGACAGGGTCTGGAGACGCCGTGGAGAATTTTCTGATGCCTGCAACATCCTCCAGCATGACCAGTTTGGCAGTGGGTCAGTAATGGTGTGGAGTGGCATTCCTTTAGAAGGCCTCACAGCCCTCCATGTGCTCGCCAGAAGTAGCCTGGCTGCCATTAGGTACCGAGATGAGATCCTCAGACCCCTTGTGAGACCATGTGCTAGTGCGGTTGGCCCTGGGTTCCTCCTAATGCATGACAATGCTAGACCTCATGTGGCTGGAGTGTGTCAGCAGTTCCTGCAAGACGAAGGCATTGATGCTGTGGACTGGCCTGCTCATTCCCCAGACCTGAATCCAATTGAGCACATCTGGGACATCATATCTCGCTCCATCCACCAACGCCACGTTGCACCACAGACTGTCCAGGAGTTAGGAATTGCTTTAGTCCAGGTGTGGGAGGAGATTCCTCAGGAGACTATCCGCCACCTCATCAGGAGCATGCCCAGGCGTTGTAGGGAGGTCATACAGGCACGTGGAGGCCACACACACTACTGAGCCTCATTTTGACTTGTTTTAAGGACATTACATCAAAGTTGGATCAGCCTGTAGTGTTTTTTTCCACTTTAATTTTGAGTGTAACTCCAAATCCAGACCTCCATGGGTTGCTAAATTTGATTTCCATTGATAATTTTTGTGTGATTTTGTTGTCAGCACATTCAACTATGTAATGAACAAAGTATTTAATAAGAATATTTCATTCATTCAGATCTAGGATGTCTTATTTTTGTGTTCCCTTTATTTTTTTGAGCAGTGTATAATAAAACAGTGGTTTGCATCCTCTTAGTTCTTAATGGTATGCATTGCTCCCTTTAACATTAATGATCCTAACAGTCCTAATTCATTTAACATCAACATCCTAAAACAGTCTATTAGGATAGTTATGAATGAGGCCCTTTATTTTCTCGTGTGGTAAAGCTACGTATCCTTTTGGCAAAAAGTCTGCAGGTCCTGCACATTCTTTGGCTGTCTAGGATGAGCTGTTTGAGATCTCAGATACGCTCAGTGATGTTACAGTCAGGAGACTGGCTGTCATCCAGAACCTTCGTTTATTTGTTCTGCTGCAGCCACTTAAGGGTCAGTGTAGCTTTAGGTAACAGACCATTGTCATGCTGGAAAGTCCAGGCATGTCCCATTCACAACTTTCATGCTCCCCAAATATTTGAGGGTATGGGAATTTTTAAACAGAACCATTTAACTATTCCCTTTATTGCTATAGTTTGTTTTATGATTGTGATGTTCTTAGATGCCTGGTTAATTTGAATCACATAACAAAAATGTAAGTAAATTCATGTTCACTTATAAAATGGTCCACATCTTAAAAATTCTGCAAGAGGTATGTAAACCTATGAGGGGTTTGCGTATTTCAAGGGGCATGTAAACCTAGGACCACAACTATAAGCATGGGTAGACTTAAACTAACATTTGTAAAATAAATAAAACATAACACAGTCTTATTGAAGACACTTAAAAATGCTGTGTTAAAGGGAAATTTCCGCTTTCATATAAATATATTTATTGTTTAACTTTTTGATACTTTCTTGTTTCTCAGACTTGTGAATGAAGAACGAACGCTGGAGGTGGAGATAGAACCTGGCGTTAGAGATGGAATGGAATATCCCTTTATAGGGGAAGGTACATCTTTTAATTTTTATTCTTTAACTTTTGATATCTTATTGGAGGTTGTAATTTATGGGACGCGTGAAAAACTGTAAATGTTCTTTGTTTCAAATTGATGAAAATAAACTGAGGCTGGAAATTTGGACCCTAATTTGGACTCTGCTTTTTTAAATATACTTGGAACATATTGTGCCTTTGAAAAAAATATTTCCTATAACACTACTAAAATTTAAATACATACAGAAGGTCTTGTGCAGAAGATTCTGTATGTCTGTATCTTCTGTATGTCTCGACATTTTTCCTTTCTCTTTTTTTTATTTTATAAGCTTTTTGGCCAATGTCTTCATAATAATTTTCAAGGGAACTTGGCTGTGAGTTCTTGTGACACTAGAAATAGAAACTTGTTTGTCAGTCTTATCATCCTTGAATTTTTTATCCCTGTTGTGACAACATTACCTATTTTTGTTCTTGTTCCCAGATATTTCATAATCTGAATAAAGTGGATAATGATTATATCAAAACTATGTGCTAACCATAGATTTTTATACAGACTAAAATACCGTATTTGCCGGCGTATAAGACGACTGGGCGTATAAGACGAGCCCCCAACATTTCCACTCAAAATATAGTTTTTGTTATATACTCGCAGTATAAGACGACCCCCCCCACTTGGAGGCATGCTTTTCAAGGCAAAAAAGTCGTCTCATACGCCGGCAAATACGGTAAGTTGTAACACTTGGGGTATTCTGGATATAATTCTTGATTGGCACCCCCAACCCCTTTCCCCCAAACTTACAAAGCCACCAAAATGCTTTAGAGAGGCAGCTTCGCCTTTCTCAGGCTGGCACTCAATTCCTCTCCCTTTCTTTGTGACAGCCCCCGCGTGCGTGCCATCGGGACTCCAAGGGTGGGGGATGGACAGCTGCCAACTCTCTCTCTCTCTCTCTCTCTCTCTCTGTGTGTGTGTGTGTGTGTGTGGTGTGGAGGGTAATTCCGGCTATCTCTGGCCTCTGCTCGGTTTTAAAGTCGCTTGGCCGGTTCCCAAGTCGCAAGCGCGCGCTGGCCGGGAGACGCGGCGCCGGGTGGAAGCTCGGTGCAGGGGAGGCAGATCTTTCTCTCTTAAGCGGGGAGGGGAGGAGGGGACAAGAGGAGGGACGGGACGGGACAGGGGGCGGGAGGAGGGCGCTCGCCTTCTTCCACCGCCCACCGGACCCTTTTCTTCCCAAGGGGACCCTGGAAAGCAGCTCGGGAGCCGGGTGGCCCTGCCCAGCGGGGTCCCATCAGGAACTTCCTGAGGACACCCCCCCCCGCCCCAAGCACAGCCCTCCCGGTCTTTCAAAGAGGGAGGGAGAAGCGGGAGGAGCAAATTGCCGCCCCCGCCCCGCTGCCCAGAAGGAGGGGCGCCACAGTCCACCCCCACCACCTTCTCCCCCCCCCACTCCCCGGGCCATTACGCGGCTCGGGGCTGGCTGGGCGAAGCGGCCCCGCCAGAGACCCTCCCGCTCCACCCCCACCCCACCTCCAGATTGGCCTCCGCAAGCGCCCCGAGCCGGGCGGAGGGTGGGTGGGTGGGTGGGAGGAGGAGGAGGAAGAGAGACTTCGGCTGGGCTTGAAGGGGCTTCGCAAGTTGCGGAGCTCCGCCCCCGTCGCTCTTGCACCGAGTGACAATGTATTTACCGGCGTATAAGACGACCCCCCCACTTGGAGGCATGTTTTTTAGGGCAAAAAAGTCGTCTTATACGCCGGCAAATACGGTAGGTAGTTTACTAAGAGTTCCCATTTAGCCCAACCAGTTGTAAACTTGTATTTGTAGATTTTTGCCTTAATAATGTATACCATTTTTTTAGAGTTAACTATACATATTGAATTTCATTAACTTACAAGGACAGAGTTTGAGGAAAAGGTCCCCATCCTGATAGATCATGCCATTATAGAAATCTTAAAGAAACATTGGTCTCACTATAAAGAGATGGTTTAGTTATAAAATATTTAAACATATTTAATACTTGTTCAAATTTCATCAGGAGAACCTCATGTTGATGGAGAACCAGGTGACTTGCGCTTCCAAATAAAAGTTCTTAAGTAAGTTTCTCTGCTTTATGAAATAATTAACCAAGTTTTTTCTATACTAGCTAACAATGAACACATTTGCTTTAGTGGTACTAGCAATTAACATGTTTTTGCATGAAAAAATGTTATGCAAAGACTTTAGTGGGCAGATTATTCCATTAAACTAATGATGCTCCAACTGTAAGATTATCCTTTGGGGCAAGAAGTGCATAAAGTATTAAAAGTGTTTGCTTCTGGGAAACAGTGGTGGCCTGAAGCAGACTAAACCTTTCTCAACTATTACCAAAAACTAGGTGAGTCGAGTTGTTTCTGGAAAAAATATCCGCACTAAACGTCTAAAGATGATTTCAAAGGAAACAGACAAAGAGTTGTGAAGATCTAAAGAAAGTTTTTTCTATGCCATATTATGACAGATTCAGAGATATTTTATACATGCAAACACTAGTATGTAAAATTAGAATTAATATCCCTATGGTGTTCAGAAAAATGGTAATTTAATTCTAATCATGACTCAAAAAATTACTTGGCATGACTCCACTCACTCAAATTCCAAAATGATTTAAATGGATTTCTTCAGAACATTAATACATAATTTTCCAATTTGTCAGTAATTTTAAATTATATTTTTTAATTTCACATTTATTTATTTATTTATTTATTTATTTATTTATTGGATTTGTGTTCAATAAATTCACCCATGGCGACTCGAGGCGGCTTACAGAATGTAAAACTATATTTAAAATAAAAAAATAAAAAAACAATAAAAACTAACAGAATCAAATAAATTAATAAAGTACAATAGAACAAAATCTGAGGGGAAAAAAATCCCCCCAACTCCCACCCCCCACCCCGACGACAGCAGATCACACAAGCCATTTGATGGGTTCCTCTGACAGAACCAAGTCTTCAGGGCCTTCTGAAAGAGTGCTAGAGTGGGAGCCATTCTAATCTCTGGGGGAATGATATTCCAGAGAGAAGGAGCCACACGAAGAAGGCCGTTCTTCTGGGTCTCACCAGTTGTATCTCCCTCAGGGGTGGGACCCGCAACATTCCCTGCCTCCCCACTCTAATGGGTCAGGTAGATACGAGTGGCAAGAGACGTTCCCTCAGATAACCCGGTCCCAAGCCATTTTTTACATGCTGTAAAAAGAGTGAGTTTGCCATGCCAGAAGAACTAAGAAATAAAATATATTAATATTCTGATATGTTGACTACAGGCATCCAGTGTTTGAAAGAAGAGGAGATGATTTATATACAAATGTTACCATCTCACTTGTGGAAGCTCTTGTTGGATTTGAAATGGATATTGCTCATTTAGATGGACATAAGGTAAGGTAGAAGATTTCTTTGCTTGAAAACTTTTTCAAAGAATCCTTTTGTATCCATAATACACATGTTGACACTAAGATATATTACTATAGTCTTCGACTTACAACATTTTGTTTAGTGACCATTCAAAGTTACAACAGCACTGAAAGATGTGACTTATGACTGTTTTACATAGTTACAACCTTTATGGCATCTCCATGATCACGGGATCAAAATTCAGACACTTGGCAACTGGTTCATATTTATGATAGTTGCAGTGTCCTGGAGTCTTCTGATCAGCTTTTGCGACCTTCTGACAAGGAAAGTCAGTGGGGAAGCCAGATTCAGTTAAAAAATGTCTTATTAACTTAACAACTGCAGTTATTCACTTAACAATTGTGGCAAGAAAGGTCATAAAATGGGACAAAACTCACCTAACAAAATGTTTCACTTAGCAACAGAAATTTTTGGCTCCGTTGTGATTGTAAGTCGAGGACTATATATTGACATTGTGATTATTTTGGGTAAAATATTTCTCATGTAAACATGTTAATCCTATTGAAAATCTTCAACATGAGAGGCAATGGTACATCCCAATAATTTGGACATAACAAAAATGATTAAATACAAAGATTTATTAGATCCGCAAGGAAAATTAAAAACTCGACAAGAATTACAGGAACAGGGATTTAAAATTGATCAGTGGTTATATATTCAAATTCATAGCAGATACAAACAAGACATTAAAGACTTCGGAATTTATAACAAACTGCAGTATTTAGATAAAATTTTATTAGGATCAAACAAAAAGAACATATCTAAATTCTATAAATATTTACTGGAAGTAGAATTAGAACAAGAGGTAGTCAAAGGGAACATGATAGCCTGGAGCAGGAATGTCGGAAGAAGTATTACATTATCAGAATGGGAAAAGATTTGGAACAGAAATATCAAGATTACAAAATCGGCAGCGTATAAAGAAAATACATACAAAATGTTTTATAGATGGCACTTGCCCCCTTCGAGGTTGGCGAAAATGAACCCTAACATGAGTCCAAAATGCTGGAAATGTAAAAGCATAGAAGGAACCTTTTTTCACATGTGGTGGTCCTGCAAGGAAACCCAGAAATATTGGCAAAAAATCAGAAAATGGTTGGAGGAGATAACCAAAGAACAAATTGAATACAAACCAGAGTTCTTCCTACTAGGGATCTCTGACAAACATTTATCCAAAAAGATGAAATATGTAACAATTCATATTTTAACTGCGGCCAGATTAGCGTTCACTCAGTGTTGGAAATTACCTTATACACCTACAGAACAAATGGTTATCCAGAAAATATGTGATTGTGCAGAAATGGACAAATTAACTATAGCACTTAAAAATAAAGAGCCTTCAACATTTTACGATAATTGGAACTCTTGGTATAATTGGTTAATCCAGAGATAAACTGCTTAAAAGATAATGGGTAATTTAAGCATAGATATCGATAAGATGTGCGTATTCAAATTAAATTAGGAGAATTGGATCTTGCAGAATGTCAAAAAGGATATTGTCTGTTTTTAAAAGTATTCTTTTCATTTCTTTTTCTCTTTCTTTGCTTCTTCCTTTCTTTTAAATCTCTTCTTCTCTTCTCTTTCCGGTTCGTAAGGCCGAGTGTTTTTTTCTTTCTTTCTTTGTGTATGTAATGTTGATATGTTTTTAATTGTAAATTTAATAAAATTTATATATATATATATAAAAAAAAGAAAATCTTCAACATGTATTTTATTTTATTTTTGTTAGGTCCATATTGCCCGTGATAAAATCACAAAACCTGGAGCCAAGCTGTGGAAGAAAGGAGAAGGTCTTCCAAACTTTGATAACAATAACATCAAAGGCTCCCTTATCATTACATTTGATATTGAATTTCCAAAAGAACAGTTGACTGGGGAACAGCGAGAAAGTATGTATAGTAGCACTGTAGTGATAACTTGAACATTGAACATTGACTTACAAAATTCATTACTTTGATTGTCAACATATTAATGCTCAGAATATAGAAATCAAAGGATAAAATCTATTCAAAAATGCCAGAAATAACAGAAAGTACCAGAAGAAGGAGTTCCATGCCTGTTCAGCAAAAAATGAATCCAAAAACCAACCTACAGTACTGTTGTTGGTGTTAATTGTCACCTGCTAAACAAAGAGAAAATGGGAATAATGCTTCTCTAAAGCAAACTGCGATTTTTTTAAGGAGGCATAAAATATAAGCTGCCCTCTAAATGTAATTAAATAGGGTGCTATGGCTCAGCAGTTAAGATGCTGAGCATGTCAGCTGGTAAACTGACAGCCTGCTTCAAGACCTGAGCGTGCACAATAGGGTGACTTGCCCCAATTCCTACCAACCTAACAGTTCGAAAGCATGGAAATGCAAATAGATAACTGGGTACCATTTCATTGGGATGGTAACAGCATTTTATGCACCTCAGCATATAGTCATGCTGCCACATGACCAAGTGTCAACGCTGGTTCTCCCGGCTAACAAATCAAGATGAGCACCACTCCCTATAGGCATTCCTGGACAGGGGAAACCTTTATCTTTAAATTCAATGGCTAGCAGCAATCGGGTCTTCAATTACCCTGACATTTTTTAGCAGAGAAACCCAGTGGGAAATTTCTGGCATCCCTACCTGAAATTTTCTAATTTAAGGAATGGGAAAAAAAAACACTAAAATTAGGGTTACCCGGTAATCATGCTAACCAGTTGAGAAGATTGAAGTAGAAGCAGAAGGAACATTGTAGAAGCAGAAGGAACATTGTGGGAAACTAAACATGTTGGCTGTCTTTGTGCTTCTTAGCATAAAGGATAGAAATGCTGCACATCAATAAAGCAGATTTTAATAAATTCATAAAACACATATCCCAGGGTCATGTGATCAGCTTTTACAACCTTCTGACAAGCAAAGTCAATGAGGAAGCCAGATTCACTTAGCAACTGTTACTAACTTAACTGCAATGGTTCATTTAGCAACAGTGACAAGAATGTTCGTAAAATGGGGCAAAACTCACTTAACAAATATCTCACTTAACATAAATGTTGGTCTCCGTTGTGGTGATAAGTTGAGAACGATAGTATTATTGAATGTTTCCTCTCTGAACTGTTTTGAGTAATAAGCTAATGGAGAATTGAGAATGATTTTTTCACCTTAATATAGTAGCAATCTCGAATGTATTGTTGTATTGTGATTGTGATTTTATTATTTTGCAGATCTCAAACAATTGCTGAAACAAGCATCTGTTCAGAAGGTGTATAATGGACTGCAGGGCTATTGAGACTGAAACAACTGGACTTTCTTGTGGATAAATGAAATAAGTACTGTAAACTGCAGTCTTTTCTGCTGGTCATTGTAGAACAAATGCAGAGGGTGGAGTAACCTCTGAAATCTCTTTTTTTTACAATAGCAAGGATAATTCTGGAATGGATCAGAAGACAAACAAAATTTCTTTATTCTGGATACAACTGGTGCTCTATTTGGAGCAATTAGGCTCCAGCAGTTGAGAGAGAGGTCGTATTTTTAACAGAATTAGCACACTGAAGTTCCATTTTCAAATATATTTTGATGTTACTTTCCTTGCCACTCTTACTGAGTTTTCATAGTTTTTTCATGGTTCCTTTATCTTGGATCACCTTGGTTTTGACATGTTTTTTGACCCATCTTGAAATTACACCTATCCCTATCGATTATGTTCAAATTTGAGGCATGAGCAGATAATAGCTACCTCCACAAATTGCTGTCCTTTCTTGTTAAACTGCCAGTGGTTCTTGTTATTTACAGTTGTAGAAGTGTTAAGTTTTGCCACCATAACAGAGGGGGTCTTTGCAATTTACACTTAGAAATGTTAAATTGCGAAAAACTGGTTTAAATGAACTGAGAGACTTTTTGCTAAAAGTTTGTCATTGCACTTAGAAGAAAATGTGCTATGTTGCTTTTGTTCACTTAGATAGGAGTTGCTGTTTTTTTAACAGAGCTCTATATAGATATTTCCTCTAATTTGCCGTTACAACAGTTTATGTAACTAGATAAGTAAGAATACTGGATTATAAATTTGTGGGAATCTTGGGTCAATTCATATTTTAAGTAGCACATATGTTTCCAGAAGTGCAAAGTATGGAATCTGAGTGTTTAGAATTTCCCAGATATTTTCAAATTACGCATATTGCATAGTATATCATACTCATTCCTATAAATATTGGCATATTTTCACTACATACAACAAATACACTGTAACTGCTCAATATGGCTATAGGTAAGAACCATTGGACAAGGTATGGTTAGGAAGACACATAGTTTCTATTTTTCCCAGTCTCTTGGCTAATAGGCACACCCATAATTGTCTCATGCAGACTTTGTGTATTTTGAATATCATATTTATATATCTTTACTGAAAAGATGGCTGCAGTTTCTGACCCTGGGTCAGCCTCTTAGTCTCAATAATGACCTAGCAGTAAATAATGTTTAGTTCCTTGACTGAAAATGAAATTGCTTTATTTAATCTGGAAAACCAGCCCACTGATGTTTACTAGCAGCATTGTATTATAATGGATGGAACTGATGAAGTCACTATATGAATAGAGAAGTAGAAAAAGGCTAGCAGTGAAATAAATAGCCACAAATGTGAATAGATTGGAATAACTTCATAAAAAACATCCAGCCAATTCTGCCATTCTTTCTTCTATTTTAAGAATTATACTAAGTTCTACAAATGAAAGGAAACTTAAGGACAGGTAAAATGCTTTTTTAATTTAAGTATATGATGTCAGCTCATAACTGAAAGCCCCAGGTCTAAATTCTGGTGAACAGCTAATAAGATCCTTAATTAACTGAGCAATTGTGGAGGATCTTTAGAGCACTTAGAAGTGATGAACAGGAAACAGTTTCACAATTGTTGGCCGCCTGCTCAGTGTTATGAGGATAAAATGCATGGAGTTATTACCTCATGTTTTCTTGGTAAGCACTAATCCTAAGCATCCAGAAAAAACAGTGGAATCCTAATTTCTAGTAAAATTCTGAAGACATTCTGTAAAAATCTCTTGAGAGAAGCATTATTTCTAGCTTGACCCAATTTAATGTAAAACATATAGTTGCTAATTCTGAATGCTCTTAAAGGTCCAAGGCTTATAAGATTTCTCACATCACTGGATTTAACATCATAGATTGTCTTTGGAACTACAGGCATGGAGGGAAGTATAGAAAGAGCCACCCCAAATCAACTGAAGTGTATCATACCACCAGTGTACTTCCTTTGTTAAAACTCTAATGTGATCTGATCAGGGATGCCTAAAATTTTTCATACAACTATAATTGTATCAGGATCCTTTAAAGATGAACATAGAAAGACATTCAGGCATTCTAGATTTTTATACTGTATTTGCCTGATGGGTAAAGGAATAAAAGAACATGCAAATCTCATTGTTAAATACCTCCCCAAAATGAGGTATAGTACAGTACAAATTAAAACTTCGCTGACAGAACATAATAAAACACAACATGGTCACAATAAAAAAAAACAGCACAATATGAAAATAAACAGGTATACACAGCATGATTTTAAAAAATCTTGTGTTTTCCTACACAGAAACGACTGAACTGGCTCTCAGCATGATAAAATACAATGCCAAAAGAAAACAGGCATATTGGGTTGAGTTGGATTGAAAGTGACTGACTCAAAGTGATGAATGAACTCTGGTGAGGTGGGAACTTTAGTCTGGGCCTCCTAGTCCAAAACCACCTACACCAACCAGAAAGATACAAGATGCCTATATTTATCATAGTGGCAGTTGTTTCCCCGCATACGAGTCCTGCATGTTTTTTTCCAATCGGCTCCATTGAGAAACCAAGAAAGCTGATGGTTCCGTTGTGTGTCAGTGCTTCTGCTATCTCTTCCCACCTGTACACAAGAACAGGCAAACAGCTAATCCCATTAGAGCAAGAGCACCGATAGTGATGCCTATCACCAATGGAGTGTGTGAAGGTCCTTCCCGTTGCCCTGCAAAAGAAAATAGAAGATTTAGGCCTGCTTTTAGGCTGGTGTTTTTTGTTTGTTTTTGGAGGGGCAGGGTTGTGGATGATGATGGAGTGGGAGAGGATGGGAACAAAATGTTAAAATGACTGCCAACACAGCTGTCATTTCAAATACTATCTCAATAGGAAGTCTTGCAGGAAGAAAATGCTAAAAGGAAGCGTCTAGTGAATATTTACTGTACAGACCTAGATTTTCTTCCCCAAGCTAGAACTGTAGACAAGCAGGCAACCACACATGCAATGTTTATTTGGTACAATAGTTTGCACTAGGTGGAGGGATCACAGACCCTGTTCTGCCTGTCCTCACATCAGCTTATAAAATACTCCCTTTTTACCCACCCATAGTCCTTATTTGGGGTAAAGTCAGGGCGACTGGCTGGAACTCATTATTTACTGGCTGGATGCCCTTCCTGACGATCAGGTATTTTATTTTCCTGTTTCATTACACATTTCTAAGATTATTACTTTCTATTAAGGAAAAGTAAAATACTGCAGAATTTTGCTTTCCAGTGTTATGGAGATGACAGTGCTACTTTTATTGCATATCCTTTTCTCTTAGAATAAGAAAAACTGATTGAGCCAGGATAATTTGTCAGAATATCTGTCTAGCCAAGAGCTTCTCTGTAACTCAATTGTCTCACCTACCAGTACTGGCTTCTTTGTTGTTAGTATACATCCTTACAAAGTTGGCACATGTTTCCTGTAGGAAGAACTGTAGATTGGTAGTTGTCTCTTGGAATTGATTCAGCTTCTTAACGGTATAATCGGCCACCAAAGTGTTAGACAAACCTTCCCAGTTATTACTCTTTGTGTGAAATTTCAGGAAATCACTTCCATTCAGCAAAATCTTGTAGAAGCTTCTGGTGCCATTTTCAGACACTTCGCACCCCTTTGTGCAATATATGGATATGGGATCTGCAATCAAAATGTCCATTAGAAAAATATATACTGAATATTTATTTGAACATCACACACAAAGTAATGCAGCATAATAGAACAAAAGAAGCACTCAAACTGAGGCTTACAAATATACAACACATGTTTCCAATTGGTTGCTTTGTCTTCAATAGAATCTATATATTTTTAATTTTTTTTAAAGTGAAAATTACCAATTTCCAAAAAACTAAAATCTCCAGTCAGTAGTGGTATTTGCTGGTTCTCCGAACCAGAGATGGTATTCAGCAGGTTCTGACCAGTTCTGGAGAACCTGTAGTGGAAATTTTGAGTAGTTCGGAGAACCGGCAAATGACTGGCCCCACCCCCATCTATTCTCTGCCTCCTGAGCCCCAGCTGATTGGCTGGGTCTTCTTTTGTTGCCCTGCACAGGAGAATGGAGCTGGAAAGCAGGTTAGTGGGGTGGGGAGGGGAGGGGGATTTTTCAGTAACCTTCCCCTGCCACACCCACCAAGCCAAGCCCACAGAACTGGTAGTAAAAAAAATTGAATCTGCTCCGAACTACTCAAAATTTCTGCTACTGGTTCTCAGAACTGGTCAGAACCTGCTGAATACCACCTCTGGGTGGAGGGAGAGTTACAAAAGTGGCTTCCAATCTCTATTAGATAGTGTAACTCCTTATTTTTGCTGCCAGTGCTATGAATCATGGAGTTGGAAGAAACTTTATAAATTATTTAGTCCATCCCCTTCCTTACTGCGGCATCTATTAGACCAGGAGTCGCCAACCTTTTGGACTTCAGGGACCACCAAACTCATAATTTTAAATCCCGGGGACCACTAATATGAATTTTGACTGACGGTGGCTTGCTGATGTTGGTGGGAGGGAGGGAGGGAGAGAGAGAGAGAGAGAGATCTGATCTAACTTCTCTCTCTCTCTCTCTCTCTCTCACACACACACACACACACACACAGAGGCAGGGGTGGGATTCAAATTTCTTAACTGGTTCTGTGGGCATGGCCTAATTTGTGGGTGTGGCTTGGTGGTCATGTGACTGGCTGGGCATGGCTTGTATGTAAACATTATGAATATTTATGTAAATATTGATTTTTTTTTATTAAAAAAAGAGCAACTTTTACCCAAAATCGGGCAAAGTAGGCAGGTAGATTGAGTTGCTCACAGAATCACAGATTCACTCAGAGATCTATCTTTCTGCCATTGGTTACCTGAGTCTGCACTGAATAATAGAAGGTTCAGTCCTAAGGAAGATCTAAAGATTAGCTAGAAAGCAAGAAGTCCGATGATGTCCAGCTTTCTAGCTAATCTAAATCGGGCACGGCAGAACAGCTGATGTTCGGGGGGGGAGGAAAAATAGCAACTTAGCAAGCAAGTTTTCCAGGTAAGGAGGGAGTGGGCTGGGAGGGTTCCCGCGGGCCATGTGGGTGGCGCAGCCTTATGTTCCTGTGCAGCCTGGATTAATTGCTTGGGAGGGGGTGCTCTGGTGCTCTGGGGGTGACATTTCTCTGCGGACCATCAAAATTTTCTCATGGACCACCAGTGGGCCACAGACCATCTGTTGGAGACCACTGTATTAGACCACCTCTGACAGATGACTATCCAACTTCTATTTGGCCTTCAGCAAAAGAGAATTGTGGCAACTTGTTCCTCTGGCTGACAGTTCAGAAAAATCAGGATTTCTAGCCTAAACTTCTCCCTTGCAGTTTTAACTCACTGGGACTGATCCTGCCCTCTAGAACATTAGAGAATACATCCATTTGTATCTGATAATCCTTCAGTTTTTTAAAGACTATCATATCTTCCTTCGGTTCTTCTGTAGGCCAAGCATACCTGAATCTTTTAATCATTCTTTATATGGCTTGGCTTCCAGACTCTTTACCGTCTTGGAAATCATTCCTGAACCAGCTCCAATTTGTTACAGCTCTCTTTGACCTTTAAAGCCCCAAAGTATTCAAAGATCTTGACCATAGCCTGGATCTTTTTTATGTGGACTTCTGCCAACCAATATCCCTCATATTCTACTTGGGTCTTTTCTTTTTCCTACCCAGATGTAGAATATTATGTTCTATTAAAGTGTCCTCTCAGTTCCCAAGTCAATAATAAAAAGTTGAACATTATAGGCACATGGAGAGATCTCTTTGACTCTACATTACTGGTTTCCCTCAAGCTGACATGCACCCATAAGTAGTACTCTCCAAAGTTCACCTAACTATAGTATGGGCTGGGCCCTATTTTACCATTTTATGGCGAATACATTGAGAAACTGTCAAAGTCTTTAATGAGTTCCAAATGAGCATGGCCGCAGCATTCCCCTCATCTTAACATAGTAACTAACAAAGAAACAACATTAACCTGTCATGCTTTGGTTGCAACTAACCCATATTAGTTCCTATTAGACACAGCTCGGCTATCTAATGATCACAAACATATTGTTTATCAATTCCATATCTCTGATGAAATAATTCCATTTATTTTCACTCTTAATAGGAAACAACCCCTTCCAGGTGTTAATTTGAAAATGTGAACAACTCAGTTTTAGCAGAAAGAAGGGGTACAATGGATTGAATGATAATACAAAATAGCATCACTTATAAGGTTCGAATTTTTCAATTCTTTCATTATTTTTTGTTGCTGGGAAGTAAAGCTTTGCTTTTGAAATTGCTTTTAGAAATTACATGGCATACATTTCCCAACTCAAAATAGTGAAAGTGATAATAGCCATTTTTTCATCAGTCATGTTGGTGCTCAGCAATACAATTTTTCTTGGAAAAAAGTCTGTTGCCTTAACATGTATTCCAACTATTGCCACCTTAAAATCTCCTTGATTACTCACAAGATATGATCTTTTCCTTGGAGAGTATCATAACCATTCCCTGGAAACTCTCTAGGTATTTTTGCAGTTTGCTTTCTGTCTGTTCCCAGAGGTTGGGTGCCTCCAATGGTAACAGTTGGCTCACGTTCAGATGTTCAGTACGACCCTCCAAGCTATGGGTCAGAATCCCATCTAGGGTGGCATTGCCTACAAATTTTGCAGAGTTGCCTTTTGAAAAGTTGGCAGTCAATGTCATGATGAAGGTATGAGTTCCTGAGAATTAAAAAAAAAAAGAGATAATTAAGTCAGCAGAGGCAATAGTTTAAGTCCCTTCTTCCCAGTCCACTGCTTCTGATGGCAGGAGTTTGCTCAAATCTCATCTCCCCTCCCCTTCAAAAGGGGAAGGAGATCAGCTTGGCTGATCTTTTTATCTCACTCTTTTTTTTCTCCCTTTGTTCGAACGTATCCTGTAACCTTAACTGAAAAAAGCAGAGGGTTTAGTACAGGAAGTATTGCACATTCAGGAAGGAGGGGTTGCCTGCCTAATTTCCCCTTTGAAAAGACGTTTTTCATAGCACTGACTGTGGCACTGGATGATTGCCAAGGCACTATATGATCCAGACTGCCAGGCACCATTGTTTATGGTGGCCTCAATATTCTTCCTCTGGTGCAAGAAATGCGGCTAAAGGGGAGTTTTCGTTTGGCATCTATCACTTCTGAGATGATACGCCGTCCACCAGTGTCAGTTATGGCCAAAACATTTTCCTGATTTCCTGTCAAGTTCTCTAATTTACCTTATTTTTAATTTATTTTTACTTGACCAATGTGTGTGGGGATACTTTTTGATGACCGGAGCTATGCTTAATATTCTGAGGAAATCAAAGTACCATGGTAAGCAATGTAATGATGCAATTGTGTCAAGATGGTTTTTCTCCTTGATTTTGGGACTATATTTTTTTATATTTAAAAACAATGTGAAACTGATTTACATCATGGGTTTTTATTTATTCTGTGCCTTAAAATATGCAAGATTGAGTGTGAAGATAGGAAAAAGGCAAGCAATTGGCTCACCATATATCTGGGAGAAGAGAACTTGTTTTTGCAAGGCATGTTGCCAATAATAAGATAGAAGATAGGTCCACTACTGAGTCACTACTCCTAAAAAACTGTGGAATATGGGTGAATTTGGAATGCATGGATGTATATGGGGCACACCTGTCCATGAGAAGTAACTCCAAGCTTAATAAGAGAAGCTCCTAGAAGTTCTTCAGGCTCCATTAAAACTGGATGCCAGCTCTTATCTCATGGAATCTTTTTTTAATTTTAAAACATGATTACTCTTTAGAACATGGTAACAATTGCACAATATCCAACCCTGAGGAATCTTTTTAGTTAATCATTTACACAAATTTGTCTTGACTACTCTGAAAGGAATAGTCCTAAATTCATTCTATGCGCAAGGTTGAAAACTCCTACTAATCTGCTGCAATTAACAGTTCTATATGTATCACCATCAATCTTAGGATTTTATCTTTAAATAGACATTTACATGATTGTAATATGGTTGTTTCAGTCTAGCGCTAATTTGGAGTGGGAGTTAAAACAGATTCTTTGTAAATTTCAGGATGTCATTAATACATTTTTACTGACTTGGATACAACATGAAACAAATACACAGATAAAATTTCAATCCAATCACTTTACTTCTGCACACATGTACTTAGAAGTCACTTCCACAGATTTCAGTAGGATATATTCCCCAGCAAATGATATTTAGGATTACTGAATTAGTTACTATAAATATTTTGAAAAGCCAACATAAATAAAAATTTATTTATTTTCTACCTAAACTATAGTAAGATTAGCCCTAGGCAAATAATTTTAAGGAGACTATTCTGTAACTTGGCATTACAGATGATCCACCATCAGGTATGTGAATTTGATCTGTGAAAATAAACAATATGACTAAGAAAGAGATAGATCCATGGATAAGCATGTTAATCTTTTGCAGCCAAAATCACAATGTTAAAAACTAATGCATTTATTCCACCACTTTTCAAAACTCACATTTATAGAGTGGTTAGCCAGCTTTATATTCACCCTTCCTGCTCCTTGTTCAGAAATCTAATCAAATCACACAGAATACTCAACTACTTCCAGTTTTAAATCTAGCCAACATGATTTTCCAGACTTACCTTCACCATATGCCCAGTGATAGAGAACCCAAGACTGGAGAAGAATTTGCAGAAGAAACATTCCCAGTCAGGAGTCTTATTTGCAAAGCCAGGAATACCTCAGTGTTGTTAGTGAAGCAAGGTCTCTGGAAAAGAAACTTCCAAGTCTTTTATATGTCAAGCCAATATGTGTTGGTATCCTTGGGGACTACAAGCACCACTAGAAATCAGGGAGTTTCATTTGCCAGGACTGGGCTGGAAGTGAGAGGGTACGGCTGGCTGGGAAAAAGCGGGTGGAGCATGTTTTCATCTTCCTATTTCCTCATGTCCAGCAAAGGAACTTTTTTCCTTGCCAGATCCGCCTCCTCCTGCTTCTCCCACAGCTGTGCAGGCTGTAGCTTGGAAATGGCTTTAAAATGCCAAGCATGACTCTGTTTTTGCCAAGTATAGTATTTGGAATAGGGACTGAGAGACAAGGCAAACAAAACATGAGAAAAAGATCCAATCAAAGTATCAGCAAAAATAATATTCACAAAGGACAGAAAGAGTGCGTCTGCAGACAGTATAACTTGGATCATAGTGCCTTTTCAAATTTCAAGTTTTGAGATTAGATATATAAACATATTTTATTGCACACTACCCAAAAAGAGATATTCCGAAACTGCAGCCTTGAAGAGAAATACACTGTAGAATGTCTTGAGTTCAATATCTAACTGAGAAAAATACAACCCAGAAACAAATCTAATACTGTAACAGACACAATTCCTATATCATCATCCATTCATTTCTGCCTTTATATGCTCTATATACATAGTATGTCAATAGTTTGCCTAGCCACATGGGCTGAGACTGCTATTGTGAAGACAGCCAGTATGAAACACAGGTAGTCTTTGACTTATGATCACAACTGTTACTAAGTGACAGAATTGTTAAGTGAATTATTGTCACAGTTTTTAAGTGAATAATTGTAGTTAAGTTAGTAACATGGTTGTTAAGTGAATCTGGCTTTTCCATTGATTTTGCTTGTCTGAAGATGGCAAAAGGTGATCATATGACCTTGGGACATCGCAACTGTCATAAATATGAGTTAGTTGCCAAGCATCTGAACTTTAAAGCTTCTGCTTAAATGGTCATAAGTGTGAAAAATGGTCATAAGTCACTTTTTTCAGGGCCTTTGTAACTTCGAATGGTTACTAAATGAACTGTTGTAAGTTGATGATGACCTGTAGTGCTTAGGGTACTGGATCAAAGTGAAGGAGGCCATGTTTAAGAACCATTAAGCCATAAACTACATGACAACAAACTCCAGTAAGAGGATCACAAAATGGGAGCCTAGTCAAAAAGACACTATATGACTTAGTTTTGTAAGTGGGTTTGGTTAAAATCATGACTGTCCCAAAGTCATCCTATAAGCTTTCATGGCTAACTGTGGTCTAAAACAATGGGAGCGCCCTAATAAAATCTAATATCTTAAGCTTGATTTTATCCTGGTTCTCTTTATATTATTTTTGTTTTTTGTTTCTTTTTAATCCCCTTTTATTATTTTTAAATAAATCAAATAAATAAATAACATTTTAAAATAAATATCTAACACTCCTTCTTTCTGTTTTCCTCACAACAACTCTGTGAGGTCAGTTGGGCTGAGAGAAAGTGACTGGCCTAAAGTCACCTAGCTGGTATATATAATATTAATGGAATAGCAGACTTAAGCAATACATGGTTGCCACTGGCGATATATATTTAAGTGCGGAACAGAATGATTACTACATCACCAAGAATTACCAAATGCAGTGAAATGCTATAGCTCTTACACATGGGACTATTTGTAAGCAGCAGAGGTGCTTCATCATGCTCTTTCTCTCACTTCTTTGCAGAAAACTGAACTGTGGCCTTAAAAGTCCTGCACTGTGGGAAAATTGGAATGAAACATTGCACCAAACCCCAAAACCATAACATTGTGATTATGGGCAGAAGAAAAACAGATCATGTTACATTTCACAAAAGTTAGACATGCTTTGAATTTTAAGTTGCTTTTGTCTATGGAGAAAACTGCAAACAATCCCATATTTATAACATGCATATGTAGCCGACTTCTGAGTGGCATGAAGTTTTAGCAATTCTTTGCAGTATTTATCCAGTTTCAACAGAAAAAAGAGAAAGAAATAGCATATTCTGGAAGAGAGAAAGAAGCTCAGAACTCAGAACATAATCCTGCTCCCATCCAAATTCCTAGGAGAATGTATGGTGCCACAGAATTCCTGCAATGAGCATTATTGACTCTGAGCCTCCTCTTCAAGCCCAAATTAATCCAGAGACGGAAACTGTATAAAACTAAAAAAAACCTTTTGCTTCATACGTAAAACAAACAAATTCCAGGAGTTCTACTGAACTATTCTGAATGGGTCACAGTTTGCCAGAAATAAATTCTGGAATGTTTTGTTGTATCTGATTTCAATCAAAAACAAAAGCCACGGAAATAATTTTACATGGAAAAAAGACAAGGCTGGTCTATGCCTCTGAATTTCTGCCCTTCTTTTCTCTGCAGCTTCCAGTGAAATCCTTCCACCAGCCCTCCCATCCTGCTGACCTTCTTAGCACTAGTCCTCTTTCTCTCCTCTGCAAACCACAATCAGGCTGCTGCCAATGTCCCAACCAGAAACTTGCAGTTCAAAGTACAAACTGTTTTATACATCTCTGTTCCAGGCTGATTTCTTACTTATTTGCATCACCATTCTATTGTCTATCCACCGCAGGATGAAGGCCTCTTCCTCATGTTTCCAACCAATATGGTCCTGAACTTTCTTTTGCCAATTGGACCTGCAATACTTGCTGATGCCATCGATCCATCTTGTTTTAGGTCTCTTTTGTGGATGCTTTTTATCAAGTAAAATCCATTCTATGACTGCCTTAGTCCAGCTGCCATCAGTTCTTCTTTGCTATGTGTCCAGCCCATTTCCGTTTCAATTCTTTTTACTCTCTTGATGGTATCATATACTTTTGTTTGTTTTCTTATTCATGTGCAGGTCTTTCTATCTTGTCCTGTGATGCTGAGCAATCTTTCCATAGCTGTTTGCACCACGCATAGCTTATGTATTGATTATGAGGTTAGTGTCCATGTTTCACTGGCATACTGTATGTTAGAACAGGTAGCACACAATGATCAAACACCTTCCCTTATGCCTGAAAAGTTTTTGATCAACTTATTTGTATACATATGTACTTCTCACACAACTTCTCCCTGACTTTTCATGAGTTAAATTGCTATGCACTTATGAAATGCACATCTCTACAACATTAACTTTCAACTGTCTTTTCTTGGTGCCTGCATTCACATTATTTTAGCCTAACATTTTGTATAAACCAACTGTGAATCCAGTCACAAATCTCACTTAAATCATTAATAGTTAAGCTAACCAAGGGCATATTCTCTGAGTATAACCTGAAAATGGCATTATCTTAAAACATGCATGTTGATAGTTCAAGAGTCACGTTTATTGATTGGGATTGGATTTAATGGAATCACCTTGACCATTCACAAGATCATTATGTTTTTGGTAAGTGAGATTATTGAGTAAATATAGGTCAGATAGGAGAGTCCCAGAGAACAATGAAATGACAAAAATGCTGACAACAGTCATCATGATGTCTATTCACTGTATAGTCAAGATGTCTAAGAAAGATTATATAAAGAATTAGCTGAGCATTACAACATTGTACTTTCTTTTCTGAAAAAAATAAAAAATAAACATCTCTTGTACTCTAATCCAGTTTTTTTTATCCTTAATGAAATTTCTGGCTGTTACTCTGAAAATGGCTGAATGAAGAAAGCAGAAAAACTGGGGCCAGCTAAGTAATTAAGGTCCATGTAAACAGCAACAAATGAGAAAACAAAAGGCAGCAGAATTAAACATGAGTGGTAGTAACACAATCAACAATCTTCTTGACCTTCCACTCATAGGTGGATGTGGTTTATATATCACATGAGTACAGTCATTTTCCACTAATGTTAGCCTCTTTTGACCTATCCATATAAATATTTTTCACTCCTTTTTACAACAGCATTACCTTCCTCAATTCCTTCTTTTATACAATTATTACATATGAAAAATACTTCTACCATCAACTCTTAGAAGAGCCACAAAGATACCAATTGGCCTGCCAGCTTCTTTATAAGACTTTGGTATAAAGTCTGAATCATCTGCTTCCTGGTTGTAAAAGGATCAACTGTCCTTGAGGTTGCTCACTCAGTAGCAGCAGCCATATCTGGAGAGGGGAATTGCAAAAAACAGGCAAGATAGTGGATGAAAATCCCATCCCTTGTGTACATGCATTGGCACCATTTGCATGTACAAAGACAAGGAGACTAAACAATCCTGCTGCAGTCAGTAACTTACCTATTTTTATTGTTCTAAGGCTGCTTTTGCTACCAGGTTCTCTTCATGTACAAATATTTGGGAAGAGATAGGACTCTAACAGGGACGGAACTGCCACATATTACTGATCTTATTTAATTATGGTATGCTGTTACAAGACAATCGGGGAGAGAGAGAACAGGTCACAGGTTTTGAGGTAATAATTTGCAGGGAGATATATGATGAGCAACTGCAATCTAGCTATTACAAGGAGTGGAGGGAAGATCAGTAGCTAACCTCTCTTCCTTTCAGACTACAATCTTATTAATGGCATGTCAGTGATGGAAGACCGTTTAGTTTAAAGATCCAACTTCTTTAATGCTAAATCAGTTTCTGACAAAGGATCTATCCAAGATTTAATCCTGGACAAAACATTGATTTGGCATTTATCATAAATTCCTGGATAAGAGTAGAGGAAAAATATTTCTCCCGTTTCTGTGGATAAATTACTGTATAAAGCAGTAGGCTACCTTGGAGGATGGTGAGGTATGTGGCTGTAGTGTAAGGGTCGTATGGAATAAGAGAGTATGAAAGCTGCCATGATGATGTTATGCTTGATCCTGGTAGTTAGCCGGTGTGAGTTGTTTTGATAAAAGTAAGTTGGTAAGGTCAAGGATGCAGTTATGAGGAAGGAGTGAAATAATGTTTAGGCAAGAAGGCCATAATTTAGGAAAGATGATTTTAAAAAAACAAGAGGCTATCATGATGGGAGCTTGAGGAATGTATTTATATTGTCAAAGATTTTTAGAAGTCTGATATCAGCATAAGGAATGTGCTAACTTCTACTTATTGTGTACTATATATATGCAATATATTTGGTTTTACTTTATTGTCCTTCCATCGGGAATAGCATTTTTTTTAGACTAAGAAAATAAACTTTTGGGCAGTGTT